CAACAAGATGCGAATTTGTCTGTTGTCGGCTTCATACCACATAAGATGTACATGTATGGAGCAAATGGTGAAACTGATGATATGTTGGAATACCATGTTACTTTTGATTTTTCACAAGACTTCCCTTTAGTAGAACTTGATGATGATTTTTTGTGTACACGCCCGGATGGCGAGGGCATATTAGTTTAAAATATTTTTTACAAAATAAAATCTTTACTTTTTGGTATGTTTTTATTTCAACATTTGTATGTTATTAATTATGTCCAACTGCAAGAAATAGCAATGTACTAACTTTTTTATTTCAATTATGTTGAAACAGGTTGTACTTGGTACCATGGAATCGGATCAGTCTTCGAGTCATGATGAAGACTCTAAACAAAGAGGTCTGAAAATAAAGGGAAAAACTACTAAAGGAAAAGTTATCGTTACTTACAATAAAAAGGGTGTTCCGATTGGCGTTGAAGCAACGAAACTTGCTTCCTTTGAGGGCATGGTAGCAAGATCAATGGTGCCTATCACTTATGCCACTTGGCGAGATGTTGAACAGGAAAAAAAAAGAAGACTTATGGCAATACATTTTGGTAAGTCTAACATCTGATCTTAACTTCCAATTAATCTTTTTTTTGTTAAAAAATAATATTGTTTTAATTAATGCTTTATGTTTCAGATGAATTTTGAACTTGATCCAAGGAGTCGGAAGAACACCCTTCAATCCATTGGGAAAAAGTGAAAGAACTTTAAGCATTATCTGTATAAGAAATTCATTGAGAAGTTTAAGAATGACCCTAATGCAAATCTGCTCAACCCTCCAGAGATGTATCCTTATTTGAAGAAAGATGAGTGGAAGGTTTTTGTATCGCAAAGACTTTCAAAGAAGTGGGAGGTTAGAAACTAGTCTGTATTTGTCGGTATTTGTTATATATATTAGTTTTAGAAACCAGTCTTGACTGTTTTAATGTTTCTAATGCAGGAAATAAGTGAGAAAGCTAAAAAAATGCGTGGACAGCATAGATACAATCATCGTCCTAGTGCCATATAATCTCGGGTTTGTTTTTTCATTTGATTTTTCATTTGATTATCAATATATTTTAATAACTTAATTTGGTTTATCGTTTTTATAGAAGACATTGGGTGTTGGCGGTGATAGATATGAAAGCAACAAGTTGTTATTATCTTGATTCCTTAGGGCCCACCAATGTCCATCAGCAGTTGAAGCAAGTTATTGATGCGTAAGTAACATAAATTATCGAAACATTATAGTATATTCTTTGATATATTTCATCAATTTTTATAGGGCAATGAAATTATACAATGCTCAAAAGGGATCTAACAAAAGGGTTAGCCTCAATTGGATCAATGTTTTGGTGAGGACTTCGAACGATCATTCCTTGTTTAAATTGCAGCTTTCATTTTGACTAATCGTTTATTGTAAACTGTTTGTAGTGTCCCCGTCAGTCGGGAGGTACCAAGTGTGGATATTATGTTTGTAAGTTCATGAAAGAGATAGTCGAGAACGGACTTCAAGTGTTGGTCAATAAGAATGTAAGCAAACTTTTCTGATACACATCTGTCATATCATACATACACATTAGTCACAACTATCATATGGACTTGAAGTAGGATGATATTATTGGAAATTCATCTACGATAACTTCTTGTCTATTCATATTAATAATAATTGTCATGCTCTTTTTATTTCTGCTGAAAAACTCATAGTTAGATGCTATTATAGACTTCTAGTTATCACCTTGTAGTTTGAAATGTTCTTTTATTTTGATGATTCACGTTTCTGTATGGAATGGAGGTTATCGTTTATAATTTGAAACAAACTTAAAAATATTGTGAATTTAACTTAGTGAAAGATTACATTGATGGTAAATTTCTTGTTATTTGCTTCTATATATTGATAGATTCTGTTGTAATTAATGAGTGAATTCTTGAATCTAATTACACGTTTTAAGCATGTGGCAATCGATACTATTTGTCGATATATGAATCAATATCTAAAGGAACAATTTGAAATGTTCGGTGGAGTTGTGAAAGCATTTGACACGTAGTAGCACTTAAAATCCAAAATTTGATTTTGTCAAGTACTATAGACGTAACATGGACTCTCTTTTGGTTATTATTTGTGATGATATTGTTGTGAACAAAGTTGGAATTTTTTATAATGCTATTGATTTTATGACTTTGCATAATGTTATTATGCTTCAAAGAATGCATATGTAAAATTGGTCATTTTAGTACTCTTTAATAGTTCATTATATACTTCACTTTAAATAATTATAAATTATATACTTATTTCATATTTTTTACTTAGGTTGGCGATGGGAAAGAAGAATACACGGATGATGACATCGATGATATTCGCAAAGAATAGGTATCTTATGTGGCAAATTTTATTATGCCTTGATATTTTGTATCGACATATGATTAATACAATATTTTTGATAACTTAATGTAAATATATTGTATGCAAATGGATTGCTTATATATAATATGGTACATAGATTTAGTATTATAAGGCATTCAATGTGATTTAGTTTGATTATTTGTCAATCTACAATATATATATATATATATATATATATATATATCTATATTTATATATATATAATTTCCGAAATACAATCACGATACACGAACGTTTGTCGTCTTTTTAAATGACGTGTGCTTCAATGACACGCAATGTAAGTCATATATGTGTGTCATAAATTTATGACACACAAATGTATGTCAAACAGATTTATGACGGGGGCTTTAATGACGCGCAATGTAAGTCATACATGCGTGTCATAAATTTATGACGCACAAATGTGTGTCATCTTAATATATGACGGGTGCTTTAATGACGCGCAATGTAAGTCATACATGCGTCATAAATTTATGATACACAAATGTGTGTCATATTAATTTATGACGGAGGCTTCAATGACGCGCAATGTAAGTCATACATGCGCTTCATAAATGTGCGTCATAAATGTGCGTCATAGATTTATGACACACAATTGTGCGTCATAAAAAATTTATGTCGGTGGCTTCAACGACAGACATTTGTGTGTCATCCGCACCCATAGATGACGCGATTGCGTGTCATTAAAAGATATTTTTCTTGTAGTGTAATCTGGAAAAAGCTTTTTCTTTAAAGGATTCAGGTGTGCTTCATTACTTCTCGGTATTGAAGTTCGCTACACTAAAGACGGCCTAATTTTGTATTGAGGACTTGCTGAAGAGAAGTGGTTTTGAAGACGCAAAACCTTTACCTACACCGACGATAACAAATAGTAAGCTGTTTGAAAACAGTGGGAGTCTAATTTCAAATGTGAAAAAATATTGAAGTATAGTTGGGGCGTTACAATATATAGTAATCACTCAGTCTGAAATCGCTTTAGCCGTAAATCGTGTGTGTCAATTTATGCAAAGCCCAACAAATGTTCATTTCCAAGCTGTTAAACGAATTATGAGGTATCTTCAAGGTACATTAGATTATGGATTGAAATTTACTAATGCATCTAGATTGTCTATAACAGGTTTCGCAGATGCAAATTGGGTGTCTGATATTGAACGATCGTCGATCTACGACGGGATGCTGCATTTATGTTGGAAGTAATCTTGTAACGTGGGGTCCAGAAAACAGCAAGTTGTCTCACGTTCAACAGCCGAGGCAGAGTATAGGGGTGTAGCTTGTGCAACAGCAGAAATCTTGTGGCTTGAATCCCTGCTCAGTGAATTGCACGTTGTGGATGATGGTACAACCGTATTACGGCGTGATAACTCTAGTGCAGTTGCTGTTTCTGCAAATCCGGTCATGCACTCTAAATTCAAACATGTCGAGTTAGATTTGTACTTGATTCCTGCATATGAACAAGTAGTTGATATTCTAACAAAACCTTTCTCAGCGCCATCTTTTTCTCGTTTTCGACACAAGTTATACGTGCTGCATGTAGGGTTCTCTTTCACTTGTTTGCATACATGTTGATGCTTGTCTGTTCTAACTTCTCTTAGAATCAGGTAACTCAAGCATGGAAGCAGGGTGAATGTTGCCTGTCAAGGTATGGTTTCAAGGGTGAAGCTAGATCAAGGTTAAGTAATAATAGAAAGTAAGGTGAGTGTTAAGTATAGAGTATAATAGTTTAGTATTATTCTGATTGTTCTGGTTATATTGGTTTAATATTGTTGGTAGCTTTCTGTTGCAGGTTGTTAGATTCATAATTGTTTGTAAATTGTACTGTTATTCTTATTGTCGTGTGTCGGCTGAAGGTGGTTAGGAAGGTTATTAGAACACCATTCATTAAACTGACTCGATGATTATATCGTATATATTATCCGGTGTTTGATTGAAGATATTATGGATTTATCAATAAAATATCTCTCTTTTCTCACTGATACTACATATTTTCATCAATCTCTTTCCTTTAGTTTTATTATCTTCATACTTTGAGGACAAATTTTGACAAACTGAAATTAGTGAAATGACCAAAAGTTTTAAATAAAAAATAGTATAAGAATTCAATTTCATAAAATTAAAATAATGATATTAAATTTAAATTTTTTAAATATTACAAAAACATGTAGTGTATACTTATTAATATAAATAATAATATATAATTTATTGAACAACGTACATTTAGATTAAATATTTATTATAAGAACAATCTAATTTACTATCCCATGCATATTTAAACCTATATAAAATTGAGGGTATTTCTATTTGAACAAGATACCTACAAGGGCCTGAATTAAGCCTGCCTTAAGCCCGATCAAGTCTAGACTGACTATCAGCACCATTACGGTCCATCAATGATCCTATCTCAATTTGTCAAACAAGGCTTCAAATTGGTTAAAATAAGATTGGGCTACCCTACTTCACTGGTTCCATTCTAGAAAGGAAAGAAGGAAACGACGTCGTGTGTTAGCTAAAAAGCCTAAGCCCATCTTCTTTCTCCTTGTTCCCGGAGAATCTTCAAAACAACGCTACTGGTTCTTTTCATTTTTATCCCTCTCGCTCGCTCGAGTAAATTAACTTTCGGAAAATTTCTTATTCAATTGAGAACGTTTCTTCCAATTAATCTCAGCGATGAGTTTTATTCCTCGGAAAATTCCTTCATTTTATCATAAATGGTTGGCCTAATTACCCGCCATCGTTAATATATTTTGATTTCTTTCTTCGAGGATTGATCGGTCTCTCTCTCTCTCTCGTTTTTTCTTTGTAGATATGAGTTTCATCAAAGGCATAATCGACTCTCTAAGCTCAATCATCTCAACCGATACCTCACCACTTGAATCAAAACAAAATCCTAGTTCATCCACGTGTCAAAACATGGAGGCTGGAAACGAACGCACCGCATATAAACTCAAAGGATACTTCGATTTGGCCAAAACAGAGATCGACAAAGCTGTTCGAGCGGAAGAATGGAGTTTAGTAGACGATGCCGTGGTTCACTACCAAAACGCTCAGCGAATTCTGGTCGAGGCTAGCTCAACTCCCACACCTTCATATATCAGCTCTAGGTATTCAATAATTTGCTTATGGTTTTGTTAAATGGATTCCAGTTTTGATATCATTTTATTTATTATTGTTATTATTTTTTTTTGGTGGTAGCGAACTAGAAAAGGTGAAATCATATAGGCAAAAGATATCGAAATGGAAGGGCCAAGTATCTGAGAGATTACAGGTTTTAAGTCGCCGATCAGGTCTTAATATTTTACATTTTAATTCATTATAGAACAATTGAGAAGCTTATACTCATTACATTTTAATTTTATTTCATGCTTTTAAACTTATTATTTCAGGAGGCACATTCGTGAACAAGGTATGACTTTCTCATTGAGATGCTTGAAACGTATGTTCTTTAAATGTAAAACTTAACTATGTTCTTTGGATGGAAACTGAGTCAATCTACAATGTTATTCTCCCATATTTAAATGGGAAATGTATGCGGTTGTTAGTTTCTATGATTATTCTACAGTTTTTCCAATGTTTTTATTATATAATATATTAAAATATTTGCAGAACACCTTAACCCATGCACAAACTGCTGCAGTTCCACCAAGAACATCAAATTCTAAGTCTCCTCGTAACCCAGTGGTGAGAAATCATATTGATAGAGTTGAAAGTTCAAAATCTGCACAAGAACCCACTAATAGTTACGAGTCAAAGTTGGTTGAAATGATTAATACAGCGATAGTTGATAGGAGCCCTGCTGTTAAATGGGACGATGTTGGTAAGATACTTGAAATATTTTTCCCTTATTGGTTTTTCTTTCTAATGCTTGCCTTTTTTCCCCTTGCTTGCATTGTGGTTTTGAACTCTCTTATTGTCTGCAGCTGGCCTTGAAAAGGCTAAGCAAGCATTAATGGAAATGGTTATTCTACCAACTAGAAGGCGAGACTTGTTTACTGGACTTAGAAGGCCAGCTAGAGGTTGAATCTTACTAGATTATCACATTCAAGAAGATAAGTTTTCAGTGCTTAAGAAATTTGTTTAATGAACATTATTCCTGCACTTTGGTTTCTAGGTCTGCTTCTTTTTGGTCCTCCTGGTAATGGGAAGACTATGCTTGCCAAAGCTGTTGCATCTGAATCACAGGCAACATTCTTCAATGTTTCTGCATCCTCTCTAACGTCTAAATGGGTTTGTCTCTGTCCTTGCTATTATATCCTTTTCTTCTAGAAATAGTAAAGTATTTAATACGGTCTGCAGTTTTCTTTCCTTACCCCTATGCTGCTCTTGATTATGGTCTTTATAATCAATCAGGTAGGAGAAGGTGAAAAGCTTGTTCGGACACTCTTCATGGTTGCAATATCCAAACAGCCATCTGTTATTTTCATGGATGAAGTATACCATTCTTTCCCATCACTCAATGGATTCAATTTTCTAGCCCTTGAACTATTTTCTATTATCATGTTTTGGAACTGCTTCAAGATTGCGCTTTTTGTCTCTTTGTTGTTCCTTGTATGTTCTGTTACCGACTTATTGCCCCTCAATTTTCTGAGCAGTGCTAAGAGTTACTTGATTTAAGATTAATTTGTTAATTCTACTAGGTTGGATTTATTGCAGGTGGCTTGAATCATTTTACTGCTTTTGAGCATTTGTGTGGTAACAAAATCCATGATCTCTAGGTCCAGCATAGCTTTCTGCATATCTTGCATTTGGTATACTGACCTAAGATGAACTTGATGGATTTGGTGTCATGCTCAAATAAAACAAATTTAAAATTGAAACATGTTGGAAACTGGAAAGTCAAACATAATATATCAAAGAGATGACAAAATCCTTTTGGATCATACATGTAAATTTTAATCTGATTATGAAACTGTGTAAGTGGTTAGTGTGCATTATTGGCAGTATGTCCGTTCCAATCTGATTGGCTCTAGGGCATACTCAAAAAAGCAATTATTCTCTGTTTAGGCTTATTATTGCTTCTGACCATTTTTAAGTTTCAGTATTCCCAACTCATTCTATATATATTTTGATGTTAATAGAAGTGAAATTTTATTACGCTACATTTTATGTATATCAATCAACTGCCATCCTTTGCATCAATATTTTCTCTGTTATCATACTACCATTCCTCTATTTTATATTTTTCTGGATTGACTCCTTGGATTTAGCTGATGGTAGCCACTTTAATATTGTGTATACCTAGTCAGTGCTGACAGTTTATTTTATTCTTTTTTTTTCCTTTTTACAGATTGATAGTGTCATGTCAACCAGGTTGGCTAATGAAAATGATGCTAGCAGACGGTTGAAGTCAGAGTTTTTAATCCAGTTCGATGGAGTGACATCCAATCCTAATGATTTAGTAATTGTCATTGGTAATTATTCATTTATTTACTTTCTGGAACTTAGATAAAATTATTGAAGAAAATGGTTGGACATATTTGTTACCCAAAACTTTCCATGTGATGATAATCCTGCTTTTATTTGTGTTATCCAAATCTTCCTTGATTACACATGGATTTCCATAGTTGATCGTATGTACTCGTTCACTTGTTTATGCAGGTGCCACTAATAAGCCACAGGAATTGGATGATGCTGTTCTTAGAAGATTGGTTAGTATGAAATTGCTGCAATCTGATTTTTCCCAGCCTTGGATATCTGATACGATCCCATTTTAGAAATTGCTTTTTGGTTGACTCATATCCTATTGTGACTTAATGGGACAGGTTAAGAGGATATATGTACCCCTTCCGGATGACAATGTTAGAAAACTTCTTCTTAAACACAAACTCAAGGGTCAACAATTTTCCCTACCTGGTAAGAGATGCTCTTGTTCTGAAATTTGTATGAATTCATATTTTTTTCCTGAGTTCATAAATGCATGTTTATATGTATTTAACCAAAGTGATTGTCTATCCCTTTTAACTGCTTAATCATGGCCCTTGTATGACAATTGAATTTTTGTTATCCGTGGTAGGTCGGGACCTAGAACGACTTGTGAGGGAGACAGAAGGTAAATCTGTGTTATTCTTCGGGGCAAAATGCTTCATGGATAGCAGTAGTTTATCTTTATGACATATTTGATAAACAATAAGATTGCATCCAATACCAAGGCATCTTATCTTCTCTTCAGCTTGGTCTAAGTCATGGTTTCTATGTTGCAGCCAATGAACTTACAGTGTACTTAGGCAGCACTGCAATAGTGTTTGAGGACAGTAGTTTTTCATGGTGTAAGAACTTATCCTTTGGCTTCTTTCTGTGAATAGGATATTCTGGAAGTGATCTGCAAGCATTATGTGAAGAAGCAGCTATGATGCCGATTAGAGAGCTTGGTTCAAATATTCTTACTGTCAAGGAAAATCAGGTATTTCCAGCAATAAATTAGCTTTTTTTTATCACTGTAAGCCTAACCAAAAATCAGATATATAGATCTTGCAACTCCTTTCAAGTTAGGTTTTGTAGTTTTATTGTGGATTTAGTGGTTTGTAGGAATCATTTTTTAAAAGAATAAAATGCTGGAATGGTTTAGGGTGTACTTGGTGGAGTGGAAAAGTGAAAGGAAGAAAAAAGAGAGTGGAAAGTGGAAAAGATAATAAATTTTTAGTATCCTCGGTACGGGGAAGTGAGAGGAAAGAAATTTGCAAAGATGACCATTTTCCATCTTAATGTATGAAAACAAATCATTCCAATTCGAATGATGAGAAGGGGAAATATTATGTAGACTATTCCTACCACCTCGATAACGGTCCCGTTCAATCATCTTAAGCCATATAACCAGTTTTTTCCACATTATTGAAACTACTCCCACAATCCATAATCTCCCCTGTTATTGATACCATTCCCCACAATATCCCTTAATCCCTCAACTCCACAATCTCCATATTCCCCCATCCCCCATCTTTGGTTTCCATGGCAATCAAACTTTTTTTTATATAAACCCAGCAACTTGGATTGTTTTAGTTACAATGATGTTCATCATTCATCAGCTCAACATTAATATTTCTAAAACAAAAGCAGATATCCATTTAATACAAATAATTATAAAACCAAAGACCCGTTTTGGTGTTCTGCAATTGGTGGTGAGCAAATCATTTGAATTAACGTGGGATTTAGATTCAAGTATTTCTGTCATGAACGTCGCATGGATCTATATTTTGAATTATGTTTCTCACGTTAGATCATGTGTTTGGTTGTTAATAATCTGTTTTACTCATTGGCATTCACCGCCAAACAATAGCAGGATAAAGTTCACTTCCATCAAAGAAAGTTTCGTACAGACTGATTACAGATTATTTGACATTTTAAAGATGACACATAATTCTTGTTGCAGGTGAGACCTCTAAGATATGAGGACTTTCAGAAGGCAATGTCTGTTATTAGGCCCAGTTTAAACAAAAGCAAGTGGGAAGAACTCGAACAGTGGAATCAGGAGTTTGGCTCTAATTGAAATTTTTTTAGCAGTATGACTCATATTTAGCATTATTACCTTTGTTGAAACAACAGCTTAAACAAAGGATGAGAAGCAACTCGTAGCACCGCCAGCGCCAAACCAGTAGTTGTTAAGAAGCCAAAGCCCTAACAATGGTCAAGATGTATTTTATTTTGGGGTGATGATTCTTTGACGGTGCGTCATATGAAGTATTGTTTTTTGATGTATTTTACAGGGAAAAAAAGTACGATTACAATGGGTAATTAACAGTCTTTTATATTATTCAAAGGTTATATAAATAAACATATAATAAAACGTTGATTTCAAAGTTGCTTTGGGCTCTGACTGAAACAAATTATGGATATTTGGACATGTGGTCTTTGCCAAATCATTGACCCTTTGCTACCAAGTTCGAACAAGCATAAGTTAGTGAGGCCAGGGATCTATATGTTGGTGTCCACTCCCCCCTCCCCCCGAAAAACACACACGCCACCACCTTCCCAACCCCAAACCACGACCAACACTTTTTTGGACACTTTGAATAGTCCTGTGTAAAGTATTTGGTGTTTACTCCAAACAGGTTTTTTTTTCTTTGCAAAAAACTGTTTTAATTAGATTTTTAAGATAAAAGGCATCTTGAAACTCATGGTTAAGTAACGCTTTGGGTAAAATACACAAACAATATCTTTACTATATGATGTTATTTTGTTGAATCTATTAATTATTTAAAAATTAAAAAATGGTATTATGATTATAGAGTGTCGCTTTGTTGAGTCTCTTGACTATTAAAAGTTACAAAATGATTACCCGACTATTTATAATTTCACACTCGTCTTTTTTCGTTAAAAATTTAGAGGTTGTCTGAGCTTAACGTTAACCTATTGATTGAGATATAAAAATTGAACTCATAATAGTTTGAGATGTATTTTGTGGATTGACTCTCTATTTACATTATGTTGTGGAGTCAATGCACGAAAGCAATGACAGTATCAATATACATCATTAAAATATCTAAGATTCAATTGAGATTCATATAGGAACTTACATATTGTCTACCAAGAGTGACAGTGGTATGATTCGAACTTGACCTTATAAGTTTAAGTTCCTAAATCTTAATCACTTGTGCCAACACTCGTTGACATAACATTTCTATACTATACCCAAACGTTTTTCATGTGTTAAAAATCTAGTGTATACAAAAGATTTCGGCAAAATCAGGCATGTCAAGATGGGCCGGTAGGAAGTCGAAGACAATTCTTAATCAACCTCTGAAGCTTGTGATATTATCTTTTACTTTTGAAATTTTGGGCTTTGATTACTGGCCCAAGCTTATATATGGATTTAGCATCAGCGTACGTATTCAAAACAAACCGACAAGCGATTAACGCTGCAACTCTAGTTGGATGAAAAAATACTCATAAATTCCCTTTATCTTGTTTTTGAAGTGTTGGTGGAATATTTATTTTTGGGGAAAGGAAATATATTGGTAGAGTAGTTGTAGTAAAAGGAAAGCGTGAGTCACTGTTTGCTTAGTTCAGCGTCTCATGCACGTACCAGAAAAGCGGCGAACGGCGCGCGGCTTTGCTGTTTGACAACCACTGCTTTCTTCTTCTCTTCGCCAAAATAAAATAACTCAACGGCGCGGCCAACGTCATTCTTTGCTCACCACAGTCCTCCATTAAGAGTGGTGACAACCACTGTTTTAGACTGCCACGTGGTCTCGTTCAATTGAGGGCATGGTCTTTCTGCCACTCAGTGTGAGGCCCTTGACTGATTGATTTACCTCCTTTTGTCCTTTGGCCGTCTTTGGTCATTCACCTCTGTTGGATACCATGAATGTTATTGCTCCGTGTTATTAAAGCTAATGACATAATATAAAAATATACATCTAATTTTTAATTAAATAGTTATTTTGATTCTTATATATTTTATAGTATTTTGACTTTTAATATTTTATTTTAAGTTAAACTGTTCGTTAACGTGATAAATTTTATATGTATAAAGTATTAACATAATAATTTTATGTATTTAAAGTATTGAAGTAACATATATCATGCGTCTAAAATGATGATATGAAATATATTATATATATAAAATAATGACATAAAACATACTACATCATCACTTTATACGTATAAATTTTATCATATCAATGACAAACATTGATCATTTGTCACCTAATAATTTTCACCAAATCAAAAATATTTTTATTTCAAAACGAAACGTTGAACGCCAAAATGTTTAAAAAAAGAATATAGACAAAAGTGATAATTTATCAAACGTTAAGAATAAATTATATAATCATGTGTTAAATTGTTTAATGATTAAAACTATTTTTTAATTATTTTTAAAAAAATTAATTAATATGTCATTTTATAACACTATTATCATATTAATATAATAAAAATTAAATTTATTCATTGTCTTTAAATATATTATTATAAAGAATAATCTCTATAATATATTTTAAAAATATTGGTTATCAAAAATATATAGCGTGCATAAATTTTTGTTCCTCAAGTAGCAATCAATGTATTGTACTTTGAAGTTTGGAGAGTTTGGCCTCGGCAATCTTAAAACACTACTCCTAGTTAATGGCAATTGGTTTCTGAATCTGGAAATAAGCTTATGTGTTATGTGTCTATGTCTGTATATCGGAGAATAATCTGAATCTATTTTAAAGATTTTTTAAAAGAAAATTAACGTTTAGTTTGTCCGTTTTACTAGATCTTTGTCCCTTCCGATATTCAATCCTAATTTCGTCTCTTCTTATACGTGTCGGCTACTTATATTTAATTTGTTGAATGAAATAATTTAATGCGGTGCCTGAAACAAATGTTGAGCATTTTCAGTTTTAACCACCGATAGTTATACTCAATTTAAAATATTTTTTAACTTAAAATGTTATATTGTTTAATTTTAAAAAATCATATAAATTTATAACATTTCTTGTTGCGTTTAAAAAATTATACAAATTTATAATAATTTTTGTTACAACCTAAAATGTTAAACTATTACTAAAATTTTCAATTACATTTATCCCGAATTTTTTGTAGCCCTATGTTAATTAGTTCTATTTTAGAATTTCCATAGAAGAGGTTATTGGTGACTGGATAGGATAAGATGTTTGTCCCACGTGGGGTACGCACGTGTCGGCTACTCACCTCATCTGCTTCTAGTGCATATATATGTTTGCTTCACGCAAACAGCTAAATATTTTCCATGCTACTAATAAGTACTTTGAAGCTAAATATGGTTAATATTATAGGAAGCCCATATTATTATATTTTTCTATGGAAAATAAATCTCAAAGATGAGATAAAGTGAGATTATACGTACATTAATTAGAATCTTTCATCTTTATTGAGAATAAAATCTTCAATGTAATTACATATTAACTCCAAATATTTATAGCCTTTATTAAATTAACAAATAAATGGCAATAAATATTAAAAGAAAGGGTCATACATTCAGTTTTATACGAGTTAGATATATTATGCATGTAAAGTAATACATTGACAAATATAAACTCTTTCCTGAAATCAAGGGAAACCATTGAAAATATCATATATATAGGGTTTGTATTATTATTAATATTGTATAAATTATTCACGATAATATCTAATATTTATTAGTAGATTTAATTAATTGTTAATATATATATATATATATATATTATATTTCATCACATACAAAGGAAATCTATGTATATAAAGGATTGAAGTCCCGATCTTTTCTTTATGCATATTTTTGAGCTTTCGACATTTTTCAACTCTCAAAGAAGACCCATACATGATATGATATATCGCTCTTTGTTTATCTCTACTTCTGAGTAACATTGATAATATCCGCAAAGAAAGAAAGAGATTAGAGATCAACCCTGACCGAGAGAGAGGGAGATGATGAGTGCAGCAAATAACGGAGGCGCAGGTCCTTGCGGTGCCTGCAAATTCCTTAGGCGAAAGTGCGTGAAAGGGTGCATATTTGCACCCTATTTTAGCTCAGACCAAGGCACGGCTCACTTTGCGGCGGTGCACAAGGTTTTCGGTGCCAGCAATGCTTCCAAGATGCTGCAGGGAATACCGGATCACAAGCGCCTAGATGCGGTGGTTACACTCTGTTATGAGGCTTTGGCTAGGGTTCGAGACCCAGTTTACGGCAGTGTCGGTCATATCTTTACCCTCCAACAACAGGTCTGCCCTGCAATTATTTTTTTTCTTTCTTCCCCTTCTTTGTCTAATTATTTCTCTGGGCGGAATTGATAAGTTCAGTAGAGATGATAAAAACTCTTTAGATGATAAGAAACCAGCTCTTTCATATCTTAGGCTGAATTAATATAAAGCTAAGGATTTGAAGCCTCCATGCAAACGTGTATCTTGCTGTTGTAGTTGTAGATATTGGCAATGATACGGTGTTGAAATAAATTAATTGTATTTTTACATTACAAATATGGTTACAGTATCACGGTAACTTTGAAAAATATTACGATGCAGTCATTACGTGGTGTTGCAGCCGTAATTTAATATTATGGGTGGTGTAACTCATTAGGTAAAACTTAGACAGCTGAATACAATATTATTGAAGAAGCAAGCAATGTAGTTAGTCAAGGTTGATGTATTTTTAACTTATTGAACACCTAAGAAATGTCTATAATCAATCACTTAAAATCTGCAGTTTCCTAGTAAAAGTCCTTGCCTGAGTACGATTATCTTGGCTTCTGTGATTATTAAAACTTCAAATTTAATGACCGTGTATGTTTTATTACCTAACCCAAGGTATTGTACGATTGTTTACTCTACTATAGTTTTCCCCCCTTTTGCAACTGAAATAGCACAAAAGTCCTACTATTAACTACGGTTGACAGACAGCCAGTGAATGGCTAAGCGGTCTGGTTGCTTGCCGGAGCCAGCAAGAAAGTATACAAAGTCGAGAAATATTCAAATAGTTTTGGTTTGACTTTGTTGGTGCTTTTGTCTTGCCATTTTTATTTTTATATAAATGCGTGTAGTGTAAATGGAGTAATCTTAAGTAAAGTCTATGAAGTAAGTAGCTATAAGGTTTATTTTTCCCTTTAAAAAACTATTAACTATTCGCTTGAATTTCTCTTGCATTAAGGATTATGGGTCCTACCATGTGTAGTTTCATTCATGGTCAACTTCCTTCATCAATTATCTCTTTTATATATACACACACGTATGAGAATACGCTAACTTAGAAATTCATTAATCGATCGAATGAGAAAAATATTTATCTTATCTCATCTTGTATGAATTTAAATTTTAATATTTGTTTTGAAATATAATATAAAAAAGAAAAAAAATAATACACTAACTTGTGATGAGATAAACGATTATAGAGAATGACTCCTTTTTGAATCTTTATTTTTAAGAGTAGTTGAACGGAAAAATTGAGCTAATTCTTGAATTCTCTGAAGAGATGTAATCTTTACAATAATTATCTTATTTCATAATTTAATCATTAAATTAATATTTTCTTTATTCATTCATTTCCACGGTTTTATGTTTTAAGAGAAGGTTCCAATGATTGTACGTAGGTGGTAAATTTACAAGCAGAGTTAGCGCACATTCAGGCCCATATTTCTATGCTGCGACGTGTGCCTCTGTTGCCGCAATCGGAAACCCTCTGCCCTTCTCACACTTCGGAAATTGGTTCAGAACCACAACACGCCTCTATGGAGTTCACGAGTTTCTCAATCCCTTCTGTCCAAGAAATGGAAAACCAAGAGCTTCAAGCGTTGGCTCGGGAGATTGTCTCTGTATATCTTCCCGGAGTTTGATCTCACCTTCCATTTCTAGCTAGAACTTTTGATCCTTGGCATCAGCATAACCTTTTCATTATGTTGTCCCAGATAACACTTTCGCTCTAGTATCTAATGGAATCGAACCCTTTTTTACTATTAATTATCATATGATTCTGATCTAAAGCCGACTGCACTGGCACCTGTTTTTTTATAGCTTTTTGTGAGATCCATATGCTCAGGGGTGTTACCTAGTTTAACAAGTTCTTTCAAGTCGCGCATGCAATTTTCATGATGTAAGATAAAAAGTAATCTGAGGGTTATGCAGCATTCGAGCAGGCCCTCGAATTTACAATGTCCGAAATCTCCAACTTTATGGAGAATGGAAACTAAATTCTCTACATCCAATCCTGACTAAAACTGCAGTTTACCCAAATGTAAGGAGAGAGTGCAACGAAAATAGTGTAGGAAGAAGTAATTAAGACCAACTCTAGAGATGCAATAATAAATCCATTTCATACAGGATGATGGATCCTGCAGCAAAGATCGACATTTCTCAACATGGCCACAAGGGGAAGAAACTACCTGTCAGAAACTACAATCTCTCTCCACCTCACCTCCAGCAACACTCAATCTATTCTTCAATTCTCTCTCTAAAGCGGCAGAAGTGGTGTGCCCCTTCAAAAAGCATCACAAGCGAGCGCTTAGGAGAGCTTTTTCGTTTGTCGCTGAGCTTACACCTTTAGAGGTGTTTTCTTCTGCACCCACAAGCGCCTTGTGCGTTAAGCGCACCTAGTCGTGCTTTTTTAAAACAGCTTTGCATGACAACTTTCTCTTCCTTTGATTATATTTACCTTATTTTAAGCACTTACAGAATAAAGCATCATGTCTACAATGCGCAATTCACTCACTTTGACAACCACACAGCTTAAAAGATATAAATTTCTGGTAAATTTAGATTGTTTCTGTGCACAAAACCATTAAGGACATTAGCAACAGTGGACACCTTTGGCATATAGTCAAATATTCATACGGTAATGGCTCAATTTAGTCGGAACATAACAACATTACAGAATGTAGGTAACCTACAATAACTTACAACAAAATGTCTACATAAACAAAGGAAATGTGCAATTATACATCCTTGGGATAAATTTCAAATTTCAACCAGAACAGAGAAGTATTTATCAAAATAGCATTGGCAACATGTATTGACAGCAATACAAACCCACCAATTATAAACTGTCCTTGTGACTCATTATATATATACTATTAATCATTCTTGCAAGTAAAAGTTTAACCCTGGAGAAGTATTATTATGTTACCACTAAGGAGAAGCGGGGAGGGGGTACCAGACAGTAAATTATAATTCATCAAAATAGACACGATCTTGATTACACCATAAAACCCATGCAGACACCAGGAAAGAACTTAACATGGTAACAAATTGAGAAACAATAAGCGTTAAAAAAAGATTAATAGCAATTCCTACACTGACTCATTGAATGCAACCATGTATCAGAGGGCGACATGAAAAGAATCCAGAACTTTCCTCCAAAATTTATATTTTAAAATTAAAAAAGGAATTATTGGGATCCCTACAGATTTATCCAGTACAACGATGTAGCAGAGGACACCTGAAAAAGTAGCCAGAACTTTCCTCTAAATGTATGCTTGAAAATTAAAAAACAAAAAAAATATGTAATTAGTCTTTTAAAACAAAGGGATCTGACTGACTCTGAGGAGAGTAAGAATACCAGAGTCATGATACTAATACACTAGCAAGCTGGACTAACCAACTATTAGGTTCCTCATATCGATGTGAAGTAAACAAGAAATATAAAAATAGTCATGCAACAGTAGAGCAATGTAAAGAAAAAAATTAATGATGATAAGAAATAACCACACACTGAGAAAAGAACAAGGTAATACCTACTGGCTTAGTTGAATAAAGTTCCTTGATTGAACTTCATCTCAAGCTCTCCAAGCAATGGTGCGGCAAAAAAGAACAATTGAATGCATGATGAACCTAGAAAAGACACAAATGCAGGTAGGATAAAAAGGAACATACATATTAAATAAAGAAGCCCCTAGAAACCATCCAGAAAATTTTACCAATAATACGAGTGGAACCATTACAAGCACCGGCTTGATCAAACCAATAATACAAGGCACTTTCATGTCATAATGAGAGCCAGACAAGAAAGATTGGACATATAGTACAGTTATGAACATAAAGAAACCAAAAAAAAGGGCAAAAAAACAGTCACCAGTGCCCATTGAAGAGAACCAGGCTAAAAATCATGTATGTCAACATGGTTAACAAATATAAATAAGGTATTTGCAAATTAGCCCAAGTGGCTATAATTTACAGAAATCACACACAACAAAGACACCTAAAGCATGTGATTATAAGCTCCAATTTTCAGTATACATAAATCTACAATCCAGTTCCAGCGGGGAGAAGGGAACAATATATATTCATGATCGTGTTAGAGTGGATTAAACCTAGCTCTTGAGGGTTCTACACAATCTCCCCATGTTGAAATCCACTGTCACCACAATCTGTACTGGAATCTAAACCACATGGAGAATCATACCATTTAGGATTTTCATGGTAGAAACCATCAACCTGAATGCCAACAAGACCTACATCTGTCACTATACCATCATCATGTCTCATGGACTTGGTTAGTTTAGCATCCTCACAACCAAGAATGCTCTTCTCATCAAAATCACTACATTTCAACCACTTATCTGTCTTACAGGGCTCACTTATCAGATCTTTCTCACTCCTACAATCTGCCCTCATTTGGTCCCAAGGAACAACATCACCAAGTGTCCTTCCAAAACTATCTTCATCATCTTCAATCAATTCTGCATCCTTGCCATCTCCGCATAACCGATCATGGTGGGGATCACTCCAGTGAGCTAAATCATTCTCCCCTACCAACATGTCATCTGAATGAGGTTTGTCGGAAAGTAATCCAATTGACTTTTGACTTCCTTCTCCTATACTTCTAACTTTACTCAAAACATCAAACAGCTCCCTAGATACCAAACCCAACAACTGATGAGGAATATTATCAATTCTCCCCTCCAACAACCCAATTTCAGCTCTCAGCTCCTGCACTTGCTGCAAAACAGCTAGCCGCAACTCTCCTCCTTCCTTTCCAGCCAATCCAAACCCCTCACTATCAAAATACTCACTTTCCCCATAAACCATATCTTGATCCATCAAAAATCCTCCCTTATGCCCAACAACACGGTGCATGATCCTTGCATTTCCATCCAGAGGCCCTGGTTCATGCCCAGAATGCACTGCATACAACTTAAATACTGCCATCCCTTCTTCTTGATATACAAATGTCTTATCTTTCTCATTATAATTGGAAATTGGCACTATAGCCCTAATTCTAAATCCACAACCACATCTCTTGGATGCATATGGTTCCCTCTTCAAAATCCTCGACTTCTTAGCTGCAGGCTTCCCAGCTCTATGACAAGCATAATCCTTAACCTCGGCCATAAAAGGTTTATACCTAATATATTTCTGCCTGATACAGAGCACAACCTTGTGCTTTACAGCCAGTTGCTGCAGCTTATGAGGCACCTCCTTTGCAGGCACGTCTAGAGACTCCGTGTACTCAAAACGGCGCCGTTTACTCTTGGAAGAAGACCCGGAGGAAGCATTGCATACATGGCAAGCCGCAACACAAACCCTAATGTAACTCTCGGGAATTCCATAGAACTTAGCACCTACAGTCCACACTTGCTTGATTTTCTCAATTGTTTCTTTAAGCCCTAAATGTTTTAAATCGGTGTCGCTGTGGAAATTCATAATGATTTCTTGCCATTGACTCACATGGGAAACGAATTGATTAGAATTGTTTTTGAAGCAAAGGAATTCGTTACCGGAACTAGGGTCCACATGCGCGATGAGCTTGTCTTGGATCCGCTTCCAAGCAGTGAGGTAAGCAGTGTCCTCGTTGCGGTCCTTCCAAACGGCGCGCCACGATTTGAGGACGGAGCGAGGCGTGGCGGCCCGGATCTCAGCTGGAGTAGCTAAACGCTGTTCAGTGATGCAGCGGATCATGAGGGAATGGGATTCGGCGTTGAAGGTGTAGAACTGAGAGGAGATGTGAGGCTCGGGATTAATGCAGCCCATGGGCTGATTCTTAGTTGATAGGGTGGCGGAGGAAGGAGGCGGGAGTGTAGTAGCGTCGTCTTGGTTATCTGAATCGGAAGCAGAGGGGGAGTCGGCGGAGGAAGAGGAGCGGAAGAGGAGGATTTCGGGGAGTGAAAAGGGAGGGTCAAGTTGGGGATGGATGATCTGGGGAGGCGGTGGGTCAAGATCATGGTGGTGAGGAAAGAGATGCCCTTCGGTTTTTTGGGGATTCATATGGAGAAGATGAAGCAGAGGAGGGGAAAGGGGAGAGAGGGAAGTTTCCCAGAATCCTTTTTTATTTTATTTTTATCTATGCTTTGTTCAGCTTCTATCTGACAATTTTGCAACCCCACAAACGCATACTTGTAAAAAAACCCATTTCTCTTCTCTACATATTATTTTAAAAGTTTGATTTTTTAAAAAAATAATTATAATATATCTAATATGATGAGTAGAACTCAACTCAATATATTTTTAATTTGATGTAATTCAAAAATTTTGAATCGAATTCGATTTATAATTTTATAAATTTGATTCAGTTTAAAAAAAATTAAATTTGATTTGAGTTATAAAAATATAACTCGAATAACTTAATTTTTTAATAATTAATTTTTAATTTTTAATTTTAAGTTGAGCACTTCAATTTTGTATGATAAATGTATATTATATATTAAAAAAGTGAAGAAATATATATTCATTGTATCTAATTTAAATAGTAATAAAGTAATAACATAATATTATAAATATTTACAATTGAATTTAAATAAAAATTTGAATAACTCAAATCAATTTAAATTTTATAAACATGATTCAACTAAAAAGTTTAAATTAAATTTAAATAATAAAATAAAACTCATCAATTTAAATAGTTTAAAAAAATTTGACCCAATTCGATCAGGTGAACTCTAATATATGATACTTGTTAAAAAAAAAGCAGCATTGCGTGTTTATTACCTAATAGTGTTTTATGTTATGCTGGCTGGCCGATAAGATCCAACTCCTATATATGGTTTAATTAATGGCCGATAAGATATAATCGGACCCAAATTCGAACTATCTGACCATTTGGGCTACATAGGCCTCGTACCCGACCCAAACCCGAAACGGAAATTTCATTTTCTTGTTGGCAAAGCTAAAACTAAATCTGCGGAATAAAGAGCTCTGTCTCTCAAATTGCAGCCTTCATTATTCTCTATTCGGTGGACCTCTGCTCCTTTCACCATGCCCAAGCAGCAAGCTAACTGGTCTCCCTACGACAACAATGGAGGGTACATGTTTTTCTTCCATTAAAAAAAAAAACCATTTTTTGCATGATTTCGTTGTTTATAAATGTTGTTGATGTTATTTTTCTTTGTGTGTGTGTTAATTGCAGATCTTGCGTTGCAGTTTCCGGCGCCGATTATTGTGTAATCGCTGCTGACACTCGGATGTCGACGGGTTACAATATTCTTACCCGTGACTACTCAAAAATCTGTAAACTGTAAGTTATTTAATGCAATCCGTTGTTTTTAAAATGGGAAATTAACGAAAAAAATTGACTTAAAGTAATAGAACTTCGGAGGAGAAGGTACCTAATAGTTTCTTCTGAAAGTAATAGTCTTTCGGTTAACAAGAATATCAAGAATGTTGAGGAACTTTTGAAGTAGTTTTGCCTCCAATAGGGAACGTAACTGGGCTAGTTTTCCAGCTAGCTATCATCATATGTTTGATGATCCTAGCTATTTATGTGTTATTTTTAGTGTTAATGGTTGGTGCTCATCATATGTTTGATGATCCTAGCTATTTATGTGTTATTTTTAGTGTTACTGGTTGGTGCATTTTAATTGTCAGTGGATATAATCTCTACCCAGCATCGGAGCAACGGATGCATAATTTTATGTTGGTTTGGGGTGGGGGGACTTTATACAAAGAAAATATCTAAAATATGACAATTTGAAATTTTCAGCTCGGTCCATCCCTCACTCTAGCGATTTACCTGGATTCCCCCCCCCCCGGGAATTTTTCGTTCTTTCTTTATCATGTATTTTAACTAGTGTCAATTACTTTTACATTGCAGAGCAGATAAATGTGTTATGGCATCCTCAGGATTTCAAGCTGATGTGAAGGCTTTACAAAAACATTTGGCTGCTAGGCACCTGGTTAGCCTTCCAATTTTTGAAATGATGGAATAATTGTTTTGAACTTGAATGTTTGCAGTTTGCACAAACAAGTGTATTAGTACAATAACTTACGAAAAATCAAAAATTGAATGTTAGCTTCACCTGTTTTAAGGACAAGAGCAGGACTTTTAATACTGGTAAAACATTTACCACAGCTGATTTAATGAACTTATAATTTTAAAGGTGCCTCTCAAAATACAGATTTATCAGCATCAGCACAACAAGCAAATGAGCTGCCCGGCAATGGCTCAACTTCTGTCCAACACCCTTTATTACAAGCGCTTCTTTCCTTATTATTCTTTTAATGTCTTGGGTGGTCTCGATAATGAAGGTAATCTGCCTTGAGAGTTGAGCCTCAGTTGCTAGTTTTAAGCCTTTCATTCTATTATGAATATAAATTGAATAGTCTCGTGTTAAATCAATAGGAAAGGGTTGTGTCTTCACATACGATGCTGTTGGTTCCTATGAGAAGGTTGGATACAGTTCTCAAGGTTCTGGTTCAACACTTATCATGCCATTCTTGGATAACCAACTGAAATCTCCAAGCCCGCTCCTGTTGCCTGTCCAGGTATGTTCCTACTTTTGATTATTTTATGTTTGGTTCATTTACATTATGCCTTTTTTAAAATAAAAAAAAATCTCGAAAACATGGTTTGTTGCAGGATGCTGTTACTCCACTTGCAGAAGCTGAAGCTGTTGATTTAGTGAAAACTGTTTTTGCTTCTGCATCTGAAAGAGATATATACACTGTGAGTTCTATTTTATTTAGTTTATGTAAAGATTTTTTTTTTATAATTTTTTTTTGAAACAGCGACTTTAGTTAGTGTCTGTCAAGCCGAGTCTGCTTCCAAGTTATTGTATTGCTCCCTTTCTTATGAATACTAGATTTCAGTTAGATCCTCATGAGAATAGTGTTATATTGAGATCATGTATGAGTTATTTCGGTCTGATTGTGGGCTCGTGAGGCATTTTTAATTCATAGAGAATTCAAAAGCATTCCATTGTTTTATCTGTACAATGGTTGGCCGGACTTGAGAGTATTTGATATTGGTAAACTCATATGTACTACCATTGAGTTTCAAGCTAATAATAAATTTCACTAGGGCTTGTACTAGTTTTCCTAACGCTCTTGGTTGAATTTTGGTCATAATGTGAATTCAATCTTTTAACCTTTTAATTTGCTATGAACAAACAGGGAGACAAACTGGAAATTGTCGTCATAAATGCGGATGGGATCCGACGGGAACACATGGATCTCCGCAAAGATTGATGTTCTTCTACTTTGTTTTTTGAATTGAACCATCATCTTGATCTTAGATTTCAGTTGGCTTTATCTGGTGTTGGGATGATAAATTTTGAATCTTGGATTCATTAGTTGTTTTATTGGTTTTTCTTATAATTGAGGATCTGCCAAGGCAAAGAACAAGCTAAATCCCTTTATTGATCTAGAGCTTCAAGACACACTTTTTCATGATTAAACAACATAATCAACAACATTTTAATATTTCATAATTAAATGAACAAGTTATCAAAACTTGGAGCACGATGACCTTACCCCTATTTTAATGAATTCGAACCCATCTAAGCTCATTTTCCACTATTCAATAATTCAATGCCGAAGCCCATGCCACGGTCTACCAAAATCTACTTTCTATTTGATACTTTTCCTTTAAATTCATCAATTCCTCACGTTTTCATTCTTCGCAACCGCATAAGGTTAAGGATTGCATTTACTGGTTTTGTTGGGACCCCTTTTCTAATTCTTCAATAAAATAGATGCCTGCATAATATAAGCATTTTGTAGGGGGGGGGGGAACCCTACAACCATACATTTGATTGGGGTTTTCAACCTTATTTAGATTCAAATTAACATAAGTTTTATATTTGAATTAGAGATATCCTTTTTCCTTGGAGCAGTTGATAGCGTCATTAAACGTTTCCTCTACCCCATAGTTAAATTTGAAACCGATATCCAACATTTTCTTTGACGACAACCCAGGATATTTATGACCTTTGATTTCTGCTAGGAATCTGTCAAAGCAAGGACAAGTTGGGGAAAATTTTGCTGATAGCAGGACGAACATAAGATATTATACTAAGAATCTATAAAATGTTAGGAGATAAAAATATATTATCAATAGAAAATATCTAAATTATATGAGAATTTGAAAATTTAAAGGGACGGTTGCCTCATCAACCCCTTATGTCCATCCTTGATTATTAGTTCATGATTATTTTTATTATAATACGATGGAATTGTTTGAGAAAGATGCTAAGGTGGCGTTTGGTTGGATGGAATCCCTTGAAATTGGTGGGAATTGGAATCCAATTCCACCAGTTTCCCATGTTTGGTTCAAGTTTTTCAAGGGAATTTGAATCCCTGATAGAATTCAATTCCATCAAATGAGGGAAAGTTAATTCCATCTAAAAATGGATGGAATTCAATTTCCTTGTTGGAGGTAATTGAAATTTGATCATACGATCCTCGTCAATCCTTTGGTAATTTATTCATATATTGAATAAAAATATTTTTTTTATTATTTCGAGTCGGGTCGGGTTTTTAATTCATATATTCGGGTCGGGTCGGGTCGGGTCGGGTGAAACTTTATTTTGGTCGGATCAGATCGGGTTTTTTAAAGTGTGATATTCGGTTTGGGTCGGGTCGAGTTCGGATTTAGGGTGAAAAAAACCGGACCGACCCGAAAATATATATAATTCAGGTCGGGTCGGATTAAGTCACTGTTTTTATTAAATAAAAATAATTGGTCGGGTTGGATTTCTAATTCATATATTCGGGTCGGGTCGGGTTTTTTAAGGGTGATATTCGGGTCGGGTCGGGTCGGTTTCGAGTTTATGGTGAAAAAAACCGGACCAACCCGAAAATATATATAATTCGGGTCGGGTCGTATCAAGTCACTGTTTTTATTAAATAAAAATATTTTTTTATTATTTCGGGTCGGGTCAGATTTCTAATTCATATATTCGGGTCGGGTCGGATGAAACTTTATTTTGTTCGGGTCGGGTCGGGTCGGGTTTTTTTAAGTGTGATATTCGGGTCAGGTTGGGTCGGGTTCGGGTTTACGGTGAAAAAAACCGGACCGACCCGAAAAAATATATAATTTTACATTATATATTTAGGAATAATTACAATAATACCCCTCTATATATAATTTTTTTCAATTAAGTCAATGTTTTTATTGAATAAAAATAATTTTTTTATTATTTTGAGTCGTGTCGGGTCGAGTTTCTAATTCATATATTGAATAAAAATAGTTTTTGGTATATTTTTTTGTAACTAATTAACATACTCCGATTGGAATGTATTGAAATATTGCTCTATCTTTTGGTAACTTATTAACATATTTTGATTGCGATGATTTTAACTTATAATGTTTATTAGCATGTTTTTATAATTTATTGAAATGAATAATCAATCAATAAAATGAAATTTTAATATTTTTAATTTTTTATAATATATTACTACATGTAAGTTGTAAAATAAACTAAAATAAAGCAAACAAACAAGAAGGGTAATTCTGTCATTTTACATTACTGAAATCAAATTCATCTGACATATCTGCGAACCAAACAAAATATGGAATTGGATTCCAATTCCTACAGATTCTAATTCCTTTACAGATTTCAATTCCCTCATAAACATTCTAGCGAACCAAACGCCAACTAAGGGAAAGAGATTCACTCACTCTAGTGTTGGAATACTGGGTACTTGGCAGAAAGAAATTCAGACATTTTTTGAAGACTCATCCTGTATGAAGAAAAGTTGTATCTCCCCTTCGCATCAGGATATTCAAGTAGGAAAATGTGTGCCCCTGACACGTCATCAACATGTACCATCGGTGTATTTAGAAGGGCTCTATATGCATGCTGCTCTCCTGCACAAACAATTCACCTTCACCGTCTATACATTTGAAAAAAAAACTCAGTTTTTTATTATAAATTACCATATAGATTAAGGAGTTTGCTTTGTATTGTACCTAAGACGAGAGCCAACACTGACCGCACTGAGAATTTGGGGCATATGAAAGAACATTAACAAAACTAGGAATCACTGTCACCACTTCCAATCCATGTTGTGCACCAAATTCAAGAGCAGCCCATTCTGTCCAAGTCTTGGAAATCATGTAAGAACTCAAAATTGGGGTTAATTTTCCTCTAATGAAATCCACATCAGACCAGAAACTCTCATCCAACATGTCCAAATCCTGGCCGTTGAAAACAACACCGGATGCACCAGAAGTATAGACAACTCGCTTCACTGTTTTTGATTTTAAGCATGACTTCAAGATGCCTAGTGTTCCGCTGATTGCCCTTTCCGTTACGATTTCCTCCGGTTCTTCGTTTCCGAAATCTGCGGGAGTGGAACACTCCTTTGCTTCCCTCGATGACTGCATCGAAACTGTCGGGATCACTAAGATCTGCATTGAAGATCTTGAGCTTCTCGGCTGCCCCTGGCAGATTGATGAGGAAACTAAGGTCTCTTTTGTTTTCTGCTCAAAAAGTTGGAAATATAACACAGCTAAACATATAGTTCCCAGAAACCAGCAAAGAAACTTAATTTTCATTCGAGCCATAAACGAAAATTGAGATTAAGTTACTAGGATCAGGTCTAACAGTGGTACGGACAGAATAACCCTCTTGAAGAAGCCTCGATAATCCACGAAGCTATGAACCCAGTACCACCAGTCACACATAGGGGTGCTTATCGAGCGAGTCGATCACGAGTTAGGTAGTGCTCGACTCGTGCTTGTTAAAAAGTTTTGTTACTCGACTCATTGCTCATTAAATTCGTTAAAATTGTGCTCGACTCGTGCTCGTTAAAAAAATTTATTGCTCGACTCGTTTCTTGTTAAGCTCGTTGCTTGGTAAACTCGTTTGTTAAGCTCGTTGCTCATGAAGGGCGTTGCTCGTCTTGTTGCTTGCTAAACTCACCAAAATTTTTATTTTGTTTTTATAACTATAGTTAAAATCTACTAAACTATGTATACCTTCATATAAACATAAATTAATAATTTTAATCCAAAATTATCGAAAGAGTATATAAAGTAATTTTAAAGTTTAAACTTTAAAATAACAATTCTCAAATATATTAAAATAATAATTTAAGGTTTGGTTCTGGGTGTAGTAAAATAATAATAATTAATTAATAATTTAGTATTCCTTTATTTTTATTAAAAAATTTATAGGTTAGTAATTTATCATCTTTTTCATTATCTACAAGTAAATTAATAATTTTTTAAAATAATTACTAAAAAAAACTTATAAAAAATTAGTGAGCTGCTCGCGAACTTATCGAGTTGAGTAGATCTTTGCTCGACTCAACTCGTTCAGATCTTGAGTCGAGCTCGAGTTCGAGTCAAGTCCCCGAATCGAGCTTTGACCGAATTTTAACCAAATCGAGTTCGAACTGCTCACGAGCTACTCAACTCATTAATCACTCCTAATCACACACGTCTTCTTCCATCTCTTGGACACAACTCCTTTGTTAGAATATTTGTATACATAATAGTGAATTTTCCTAGTCTGAATACATGTGATATTTCATTTTCAATATTCAATTATTTGGGTGATGATAATTTAAAAATATTTATATTTAATATCATTTGGAAGTTGCGACTTCATTGCCACCTTTTTCATTACCACCTTTTTCAGCAATAAAACAAGTTATTGATGTCTGCACTCTGAAGTCATCCCATGAGCAAAGTTGTTCACCTTTCATCAATTAGGATAAACTTCAAATTATGTCTGATCAGTTCAAATATTTAATTTGTTGTGTAGATGGTGCATGTGTAAATTAAATTAGATTACAAAATTAAAAATATATATTTTTAATTACTTGGAAAATGATATGATACATTAACAAATTATGTAAGACCATTTCAAATATATATTTTGATGTGCGGATGTTGCACATGTAAATTAAATTATATCACTTAATTAAAAGATATTATTCATATTATTTTATTCCTTTCATTAATTTTCATGATTGTGATTTTATTTTTGTTAATTTAGTTTTTTATTTAAAAAAGTCTCTAATCATGTAATATTCGGTCATTATTTAATCAGACATGAAATAATAAATCCTATTCTAACAAGAAGATTAGTCTTCGATTGGAACCTCTCAACTTTAATCTTGAGCCAACAAGTCCTCTCATTGAAAAGTCACGGTAATCCCGTTGAAAACATGAAATATCTAAAATGTGTGAAGTAAGATTGTTCCCTCGCTTCCATGGATGTATCGAGAGGAGGGGTGGCGATAGTCGTCTCCTTTGTAAATTTAAATTTATCATATATTTTAGATTTTTTCTATTGAAAATTTATTTTCACTCTTAAGAATTTTACAAGTTCGTCTCCTTAG